GTATGCGGGTATTTGTAAATTTAAACGTTCAGGTAAAAGGTCTCTCAGCCCAAGTAACCTAATGTATTCTCAAAGGCTTTCATGGCCGGGATCCGATGGTGGTTGTGGGTTTTTCAGGCTCTTTGGTTGTGTTCTGAAGGTTGTTCTTCCTAACATTTCGCCAATCTCTGTGGCCATGGGCATCTTCCGAGGACAGGAGTCGGAACTCTGTCTGTGCTCTGGTGCAGTTTGTTTGGAAACAGCTGGACCTCAGTTGGGGGTGGGGGGAGAAGAAGCAGAATAGAACGCTCCCCCATCACATCCTCACTGCTGGCTGGACCGCACAGTGTCTGGGCCGCACTGTGTTCCTAACCGTATCAAGGTGAGTAAGCACAGCCAGGCAATGAGAGCCTAGCTGGCAGACAGAAAGCCACGAGGAGGCAAAGCAAAGTGTGCCTGTTTTCAGGAAGCTGGAGGTCCTAGCACCTTAATTAAAGATAAACAAATAATTGAGAAAGGGAATGGGGGAAAAAATTAACAAACTGCATTCTCTACAAAAATAAGGTTAAAGTAGCTCTGGAAAACTGGGTGGTATATGCCACAATTCCACAGCAGGACAGGCAAAATAAAACTGGTTATCTTGCGCAGAAATCAGCACCTTGAGCGTTTTAGATTTTGCTAAGCAAGCTTCTAGGTCCTTCGTGTTGAATAGGCGTGGGCAATGCCTGCTAGGATCTGAGAAAGCTAAAGGGGAGAGCAGGGAAGCCCTCGTCAAGGTTTGGCTGCCGGGGCAACAGGGAGGATCTGGCACCCCTTGGCGATGGAACTGGCTTGAAATTAGGGGAACCCCCCCCAGGTGAGTCAAGGCCTCTCTCCCCTTCTGTGCCCCTTAGGAGGGCCAGCAGCTGATGGAGGAGAAGCCGGAGCTGGCAGAAACGGTGAGGAAAAAGCTGGAGGAGATCCGGGAGTGTTGGGCTGAGTTGGAATCCACCACCCAGGCCAAAGCGCGCCAGTTGCTGGAGGCCACCAAGGCGGACCACCTGGTCCAGAGCTTCACAGACCTCGACCGGCGGCTGATGCACATGGAGAGCCAGCTGCAGGCGGTGGATGCCGGGCCGGACCTGGCCAGCGTCAACAGCAGCCTCAAGAAGCTCCAGGTGGGTCCCACGGTGAGGGGCAGGAGGCACCGACGTTTCCAGGTATCTGCTTGTGCACTTTTTGAAAAGGGGACGGGAATCCTGTGGTGTCAGGACTGTTCCCGTGGGACTCTGGGAGGATGACAACAGGGAGCAGTGGCTCCTTGGGAAGGAAGAGGGACGCCATCTGTCAATGGCCGGTGGCCAAGGCATTAAGCGGGGCACTCAGTACCCCCTCCTATGTAGTGTAATGTCTACCAACACCACTTGCTTAAGAAGGTATAGATCTTCTGCTAGAATGCCATGCCTTCAAGGCTCATGGTGGTGGCATCGTCCAGAAATGCTGGATTGAACTGGGAGGTACTTGATGGTGCTGGAGGTGCTCTAATTTCTGGGTCTCTGATTTCCGGGTAAGATGTTCCCATGTCCTGACCCCTTACTTCTGCAGCCTAGGAAGACTTTGTCAGCATCGTGTGAAATCAACCCTTTGGTCCTGCTGGAAGGATCATATCTGAACTTCAGGGCCACCTGATCCTCCTTGTTTAAACAAGACAAATACAACAACCTCCCTTGATCCACAGATCTGTTTGCCTGGAGCTGCTCTTTTTTGGGTGGGAGAGTTGGGGGGGGGTGTCTTTTAGGAAAAGGAGGCACAGATGTTCTGAAAGTGGGCCAGTGTTCCCCTCCTGGGTTTCTCCTTAGGTCACTGGGGCTGTCAGAATGTGCGCCCACAGCCTGCTTTTATGGTTTGTTTGCAAAGAGGGACAGGAGGTGAACACTGCTCTCAGGCAGAAGATCAGACTATGCCTGGCCCTTGCTCACAAACCTAATAAAGCCCCCAGATTATTGGGGTGTCTATGCTAGAACAGCCTTGTCAAGAAAATGCTCTTCCCTGGGAATCAAAAGTGCAACAAGAGTGACCCGGTACGTAACAATTTGCTGTCCTTTCCTAGCACCCAGAAGTCGATGCTTTGGACAGACCCATTGCTGCCGAAGAGCTTGAATCTGGGCCCAGGAGAGAGCCTCCTGAGCAGTGTGCCGTCCAGGCCTTTGCCTGTCAGGGTCGGTAGAAGCAGCAGGATTCATCCCTCAGTGCAGCTAAGTCTGCCATCTGTTACATGGGCAGGAACAGCTGAGGCCAGTGTCTAAATGCAGGGGGCTGTCAGAAGGGAGGGAGGAAGGAAGGAAGGAAGGAAAGAAGGAAGGGGTTATTTTATTTCCAACACATCTTTCTATCTGCCCCCCCCTTGAGCCTTTAGCTTCTTTTAAAGAACAAAACAAAGCACTAGTAACTTGTTGTTTTATTCTGCATAAGGTCAATAAACTATCAAATATCTTCAGTAGCTATTCTAGAGTGTGCAGCATTAGTCCTTGGCATTTGTCCTCGGGCATGACATTAGATTTCACCTTCTTTCCTGAGCCAAGCAACAGAAAACGAGTACTCTTTGCTGCCTGTTTTCATTTCAGTGGTCAGTCCTTTGTGTGTTGGTTCGCTCCTACTACTGGCTTTTAAGAAACCCAGACTGACATTTTCTGTGGAATTTTTTTAGACTTCCCCCTCTTTGCATAGTTCAGCAAAATAAAGTACCCTGTTTCCCCGAAAATAAGACCTACTATGATTTTCCAGGATGCTCGTAATATAAGCCCTGCCCCAAAAATAAGCCCCCGTTAAGTGAAACCCCACCTTACACCATTGTGCAGCAATCAGAAGAAGATGACATGACTATGTTTGAATAAAGGTAGATTGTTGTATATGGGGAAAAATCCCCTGAAAATAAGCTCTAATGAGTTTTTTGGAGCAAAAATTAATATAAGACTCTGTCTCATTTTTGGTAATAGTTGGCTTCAATTTAGTGGATAGTTATATTCCATTACAACCAGTGAGATTTCAGCACAATCATCATGGGTTGACTGGACAACTTCTGTTGGCTCTGCCATTCTTAAACTCCTCAAGCTTTCAAATTGTTAAAATATGTTAGATTTTTTCATGTGTTCATCCTCTGTCACAGAAGAGGGCAACCTGATGCCTTCCAGATATTTTGGCCTAGAACTCTCATATATCTCCCTGGCCATTAGGCAAGTTCATAGGCTCCCCTGCGGATGCGTCGGCTGCAGGCGAGGCCTGTCTCCTTGTTGGCATCAGGCCGGGCTGGGCAGCCGTGCCACTGAACCATTTGGCAGGGGGCAGAAGAGGGGCTGCAGGTGGGGGGGGCTGTGGGGGTGGATGTGGGGGAGCACAAAGTCCGGAGGGGCCTGTTCTTACTCATGCTCGGAAAACCAAAAGCCAGGCTGCCTGGGGAGGTGGGTTTCCCCTCTTTGGCCTGCAGGGGCCCTGCTGTTGCCTGGTCCCATCCCGGCTGCTCCCTGCCCTTCCGCTCCATCGCTGGCAGCCTGGCTCGCTCCGTCAGCTCCATCCTCTTCCCTCTGGCATGACTCCGTCTTGCCTCCAACATCTGCTGGCCCAACAGAAAAACTCCAGGCCCCAAGACTGGCAAGGGATGGATGGAAGGGAGGGAGGGAGGGAGAGAAAGGGGGAGGGCCATCCATGCCTCCAGAGGAAGACGATGGAGTTCTCAGGCTCTCTCTGCTGCATCTCTGGGGCACAGGCAGTTTTGGGGGCGGGTCTGCTTTCCTCTACAGCTCAAGGATCCTGGGTTTGGGTTGATCCTCCTCATCTTGGCCCAGCTATCCTGGAGGGACGGGTCACGTGCCAGGCCACGGCAGCAGAAGCAGCTGGCTCCATGACTCCCAGGAGGGCTGCGGGTGCCCTGGCCAGCTGGCCCGCCAGCCTGCCCGCCCTCCATCCAGACTCTCACACCAAGCTTTCCATTTTCCATCCTCAGCAGCCCACGGCAGTTCAGAGCCAGCCTTTGCTCATGACATCCTAGTGCCGTTTGTCTCATCACGCTGCATGGCGGTACAGTAGCCCGTTTCTTTTAATCCATCTGGGTTGCGTTCGGCTTTCCTTTCTTTTTTCTCTGTCTGTCTGTCTGTCTGTCTGTCTGTCTGTCTGCCTGACCGGCCCAAAACCCAACCCACCCTTTTCCTTCAGCTCAAAGGGTCTTCTCTGCACTTTCCCATTGGGTTGTTTTCCTGCCTCTGATTTCCTGCGTTCGTAGTCTTTACATTAACCACTCGTGATCTTGTTAGCTGCCAAGTAATTTCTGTTGCCTTCCTCTTCCTTCTCCAGAACATGGAGCCCCATTCCAGAAGGGTGACCTTTCCCAGACTTGTGTTCATGGGTGCGTGGGCGTGTGCACATGCGTGTGTGTGCATATGTGCCTAGTAGAAGAGGAGGGGGCTTAAGAGGGCTGGCGCCTAATGGTCCCAGCCATAAATGTGCAAGTCGGGAGATGACCGGGCCCAGCGTCCAGGGCTCAGCTCTTGCCTTCTCCACAAGCACTGCACAGCCTTAGTGGTCTTGAACAAATACAGGGGAAACCCATCCACCCCAACCTCCTGCTGTACAGACTGAGGGTGGCCCGTGTTTCTCCTGATGTGGGACAGCCAGCTGCAAACAATGGGATGGGCTGCATCTGATTCCCACCCCCCCCCAGGAACCATGAGAGATCTAGAAGGTGCTGGGAATACCCCGTGAAAGTGCACCTGTCCACCCTTAATGCACAGGGGCTCATTTCCCACTGCTCCCAGGGAAGACCTTTGTGGACAGACCCACAGTCCACGCACCCTATATTATTCCAAGGCTTCATTTTGGTTGGATCACTTGAGAAAGTGGCAGGATTATGTTTAAATGGAACAGGAAAAGCCCCCCCCCCCCGATGCAAAAGGCCTGAGAGGGCATTCTGTGTTTCTGGGGTGGGCAGGGGGGCTCAGCCCCACTCTGAGCTGGAGAAATCGTGCCTGCCTGCAGCTGCACCTGCTTCTCTTTGCCGACCCCCTCTGCGCACGTGCCATGCCACACTCGTGGCTTTCCCAGGAACAAAATGTCAGGGAAGCAGCTCCATTATTTAATTGGATCTTACCCACCGACACAAAGGAGGTGCGGTGCAGCCGTCAAAGGATAGGGAAAGGCCTTGGCTGTCAGCTCACTCCGTTCCCAAACAACCGAGAAAGGAAGGTAGATGGCAAAGCCAGAGCAGGAGCCCACAGAGGCCTGAATGGGGGGGGGGAGGCCTTCTGGAAAGGGGCACCACGTTCCTGACCACCACTTCCTGATTCTCACTCAAACTCACTTGCTGGGAATTACTTGTGTCTTCCATCGTCCTGCTCTTAGGATGGTCCATTCTTGTTTCTGTTTATAGCCTGGGAGCTTTCCATGGTTTCTGTGAACTTCTGCAGCAGGGAAGGCTCATGTTCTAGAGAAAGGACTTCAAGCCCCGATGGCCAGGCATGGCTCGGAAAAGCTTCGAGACCCTGCAGCCGGCCACCCTAACAGGACCCTCTCCGAGCGTCCCTTCTACTTTAAACCCAGGCTTCTGTGTGCCTGTTGTGTGGTTGGATGGCCCCTGGCCGCCCCTCTCCCTGCTACTCTGGATGCCAGCTCAGTTCAGTTGCTGCTGCCCGCAGGCGTCTGCCCAGTATCAGGTTCAGGAAAGCCGAGAGGCCAGGCTCAAGCTGCCGCCTGTCTGTGGCAGCACATCTGTCCACATGAACACGCACAGAGAGAGTTAGAGAGAGAGAGAGAGAAAGGGAAGGAGAGAGGGAGGGAGGGTATGGAGGCTTCGCGGTATGCTTGTAAAGGCGGAGGGAAGCCAAAGCTGCACTGGAGCTTCACACGTTTTATTTGCAGGTGCCAGTATTATGTTCAAACCATGGGCAACCCCTCCGTACCCCAGATGAAATGAAAGCCACAGCCATATTCTTTTCTGTGGTAAAGGAGGTCAAGGGTGGGGGGTGACATGGCTTTCTTCTTCCCCACTTTATGCTATGACCAACCCTGCAAGGTAGGTCACATTGAGAAACAGAAGCCCCCCCCCCAAGCCCACGTCACTGTGGAATGGGAGCGCTCCCGTGGGGATATGAACCTGGAGCGTCCGGCTTTCCAGTCCAGCACTCTCCCGGCTACAGCACCCTGGTTCTTGCTGGAGTCTCAAAGAAGGCAATCCCATTGCCTGCCCACGTCTGCCAAGCCACTGACACGAGGGCCAGGGGGCCGAGAGGGACGTCTCGTGGCCCACCCCGGCGCCCTGTCGGCCAAGCTGGGGCCCGTCCGTTTCCCTTCTGGGTGGGCGCAAGCTTTTTTCTTCCTCCCCGTCTCGTTGCAGACCATGGAGACCCAGGTGGAGGAGTGGTCCAAGGAAGTGGGGGAGCTGCAGGCCCAGGTGGCTGCCTTGCCCCTGGAGGCCACCAGCCAAGACGCGGTCGACGAGAGGCAGCGCGTGGTGGGCACGCGCATCGTGCGCCTCATCGAGCCCCTCAAGGAGCGCCGGAGGATCCTGCTGGCCTCCAAGGAGGTGCATCAAGTCAGCCACGACCTGGAGGATGAGATCGTAAGTGGAGATGGAGTCGGGGTGGGAGGAAGGAAGGGGGCCAAAGAAGGAAGGTCTGTGGGTCAGAGTCAGACCAGGAGGGGCAGATAAAAGGCCACTTTCCTGACAGTTGTCATAGTCCCAGTAGCCAGGACCAAGCATCAAAGGAGGTAAAATACATCATGGTCCCGTTGTCAGCAAAGAACCAGGACAGAATCTCTGGCGGGCGACATTCAGGGGACTGGGAAGGGGCTCCAAGCCTGAAAATGCTGCCGGGGATGTCCGTAATTGGGATGGAGGGATTACTCTTGCGAGGCCTTTTCCAAGTCCTCTGTCTCCCTTGGTTCTCCTTCCCTTCCAGCTCTGGGTGCAGGACCGCCTCCCACTGGCCATGCTGAAGGACCTCGGGAGCAACCTGCAAGCAGTCCAGCAGTTCATGAAGAAGAACCAGGTAAAGAGAGGCAGGACAAAGGGCATCTCTGAGTCAGGGTGGTGGGAGTGGAGGTAAAAGGGGCTGGAGAGAAGAGGCTGGTCGCCCGGCCAGGGAAGAAGGAGGAAGGAAGCCCAACGGTACCAATCTGCATGTAGATCCAGAGAGGGAAAACACTAGTGGACAATATGATCAAGTTTTCTGTCTATTGCGTGCGCACACCCACCCTGCAGATCTCTTGCTAGCTGTATAGTTGCTCTGTTTGTTGTAACAGAGAGTAGCCAGAGCTACCTCTGGAAAAGTGGGGCGCATGCAAGGCAGGGTGCTGGCATCTGCTTGGAACTTGGGCCTCCCAGCTTGGGCTGCTTCTCCTTATCCCAGTAAGACAACTTGTCATGGTGTGTCAGAGACCGCTGCACTCTGCATGTGCTCAGAATCACAGTTGCCCAACAAAGTCGTATCAAGCCTTAAGGCTGAGGCTTAAAACCCAGTTTTGAAAGTACATGCCGGCACCCCATAACCCCGAGGGCTCTTTCTTTCCGGCCACCAGAACCTGCGCCGGGAGATCCAGGTGCACAAGCCGCGGATGGACGACGTCTTGGAGCGGGCCACTAACATCGCCACGATCAAGAGCCCGGAGGTGGACGCCGTGCGGCTGCTTCTGGAGAAGCTCTCCGAGCTGTGGCTGACCCTCCAGGTGGAGACGGAGCAGCGGCAGCAGCTCCTGGACGCCACCTACCAGGTGGAGCAGTTCTACTTCGACGTGGCCGAGGTGGAGTCCTGGCTGAGCGAGCAGGAGCTGTTCATGATGAGCGAGGAGAAGGGAAAGGTGGGCGCCTGCAGGGATCCCTGCCTTCGGAGCCACCCATCCTCTTGAAGTGGGCGGGTCAGACTGAGAGTCCAGGGCCAGCTCGGTTTTGCCCGCTCCTCTCTTCTCCTCTGCCACTCCGCGTAGATCCTCTGATGGGCCCTTGTGTTCGCTCTCCTGCAGGATGAACAGAGCACCCTCCAGCTGCTTAAAAAACACCTGCTGACCGAACAGACGGTGGAGAATTACGCAGAGACCATCGCCCAGCTCTCCCGGCAATGCCGAGCACTGCTGGAGCTGGGCCACCCAGACAGGTAAGGCTTCCTTTCCTCTTAATCCTCCCCCTCCGTTGCCGACCCACCCCTGGAGGATCCCTCCCGGACTGATCCGGCCCTGTCCTTACCAGCGAACAGATCAGCCGGCGGCAGTCCCAGGTCGACCGGCTCTACGTCTCCCTGAAGGACCTGGTGGAGGAACGCAAGGCGAAGCTGGAGCAGCAGTACTGGCTCCTGCAGCTCAACCGCGAAGTGGACGACCTGGAGCACTGGATTGCTGAGAAGGAGGTGGTGGCCGGCTCGCCAGAACTGGGGCAGGACTACGAGCACGTGACGGTGAGAGGGAGGCAGGGAACAGGCCGTGAACCTCCGTGCCAGCGGTGCCCATCTGGGCCCTGGGCCCTGATCTCTCACCCATCTCAGTTTCCAGGAAGGGAGCCGCTCTGTGATTCGTGGGCCCTTGAGCCTGATCTCTGCACATGCCCAAGGGCACTCTCCCCTTTCTGGTTTTTATAAGCGCCAAGGCAGGCGTTGGGCGGAAAGGTCGGAAGAGAATCTGGAAGATGGGCAGGCGCCGGAAACGGCTTTCTTCCAGTTTCCTCCTCCCATTCACAGCCCACCTGGGCTTATCTTCTGCTCTGACATGCTTGGCCCCTTCCTTCTGTCTCCCCCGCCTTCTTCTGCAGCTGCTGCAGGAGAAGTTCACGGAGTTTGCCAGCGAGACGGGCAGCGTCGGCAACGAGAGGATCTCGGCCGTCAACCAGATGGTGGACGAGCTGATTGACTACGGCCACGCGGACGCCGCCACCATCGCCGAGTGGAAAGATGGGGTGAACGAGGCCTGGGCGGACCTGCTGGAGCTGATGGAGACCCGGGCGCAGATGCTGGCCGCCTCCCACGAGCTGCACCGGTTCTTCAGTGACTGCAAGGAGGTCCTCTCCCAGATTGAGGAGAAGAAGCAGCGCTTGCCGGAGGTCACAGCTCGGGAATCCAAGACCTCGGCCGGCAGCCTGCAAAGGAAGCTGAGCTCCTTCGAGCACGACGTCCAGGTCCTTGTGACGCAGGTGGGGGAATGCAAGGCGGAGCCCCTCCGGCCCGTCTCCATTTATTTTTACCCTTTTATTTTTTTACATTTCTAAACCACCCCTCTGACCAAGGGTCGCTCTGGGTGCTATACAACCATGAACGACGTAAACCTGTAGCAAAAAGCAAAACAACAACCTGATCGTTCAACAAACACAGATAAGATTAAGACTAAAATGAAAGTTTAAAATTAGTTCAAAATTAATTAATTCACCCAAAGTAGTTCCAGCGCTTTGTAAAGTTCAGAATGCATTCACAGCCTCCCCTCCCTGAAAGGTCGGGTGTCCTGGGCTGCCACTGGGTTGGAGTAACACCTCTCCTCTGAAATGAAAGAACCATTTCCTGCTCCTCGTGCCCCATCATGCGGGGGGCCCACCGTCGCGTATCGTAACTCTTTGCTCCCCATGGGGTTCCCGGCAGGTGCGGCAGCTGCAAGAGGTGGCAGCCCAGCTGCGGACCGTGTACGCGGGCGAGAACGCCGAGGCCATCGCCACCAAGGAGCAGGAGGTGATGCGCTCCTGGAAGGAACTGCTCACCTCCTGTGAAGATTGCCGGGTGCAGATCACCACCACCACGGACAAGATCCGCTTCACAAGCATGGTGAGGGACCTGATCTCCTGGATGGACACCATCATCTGCCAGATCGGCACTGGCGAGAAGCCCAGGTAACGGTGGGGCAGAGAGAGGGAAACGGGCGAAGGTGCAGGACCCACCGTCGGACTTCCACCGCTTTTTTGCCCTGTCCCTGAGCTTCGGTTGGGCTAAAGGCCAACAGTATTTGGCCACTGGACCCTCTGGACTTCCAGGGTGGGAGCTTGGGGCTCTGATTTGCAGTTTTGCAAGGCCTTCCTCAGAGACCAGGTGGTTCTAGCCAGCCACTGAACTCATCCACAGTTTCTTATTGAAAAGGACACCAAAACTCCAGAGCAGAGAACCTTGCACACAGAGGGGTCTTCAATCAAGCCTTGAAAAGCTTGTTCCCTTTTGTACTACAGTTCCCAGAATCCCCTAGCCAGCACTAGCTGAGGGATTCTGGGACCTGTAGTCCAGAAAGTAAAGTTGTTGAGATCTGTCCACAATCCAGTCCCAAAAGTTTGGTGATAGGAGAAGCTGCCTTCTCCCTCTTGCAGTCAGTCTCCCTGCAGACCAAGGTTGGAGAAGTGATGACTCTCCAGATATCACGAGGCATCCGTTCCCCATCGGCTCTAGCCAGGCTGACAAGGAGGGACAGGCTAAGGAGAACCACTCTGAAAACTACCCAGTCTTGTCTGGTTTGGGAAGCTAAGCAAATGCTAGGTCTGGTTAGGGTCTCTGGATGGGAGACCACCAAGAATACTGGGTGCCTGATTTGAGGGGGCTGCAACTCCATTTCTGAATGCTTGGTTTGCATGCAGAGGGTCTCACGTTTAACCCCTTGTGGGTAGGGCTAGGAGAGAATCCTGCTTGAAACCCTGGACAGCTGTCGTTGCTCTAGTAACACTGAGCCAGACGGACCAAGCAACCCATCCAAATTTTTAATGTTCCTCTGATGACCGGAATGGTCATCTCCACCCTTACTTTAAGGGACGTCAGTGTACCCTGAAGCCATTTCCTTGCTGCATGGCCCTCCCCTTCGCCCCTCTCCACCTGGGGCTGTCTTTCGGCTTGGCCCAGCTTCAGAAACCCCCCCAGGCCTCACCCACTCCCCTTTTCCCCCCTGTGGCCCTGCAGGGACGTCTCCACGGTGGAAGTGCTGATGAACTACCACCAGGGGCTGAAGAGCGAGATCGAGACGCACAACAAGAACATTGCTTCTTGTGTGGAGCTGGGCAAGACGCTGGTGTTGAACAAGAGCCCGGCCGCGGAGGAGGTGAGCCTCTTAGTTGCTCCCCCCCCCACCTCAAAGTCCCAGGGCCGAGACAGAAAGGATGCTTGGGGGGGGGGGCTGCTCTCTCCTGAAGCGCTCCTTGTAAAAAAAAAGAGATTGTGATGATGCTTCCTGGGTGGGAAAGGGTTCCATGGAGACAGGGAGACCCGGAAGCTGGGGAGGGTTCCTGCCCCCCCCCCACTGCTTCCCAAACATGATTTTTCTGATTCCTGCCACAGATCAAGCTCCATCTGGAGAAATTGATGTCCAAGAAGAAGGAGATGCTAGACAAGTGGGACCGCCACTGGGAGTGGCTGCAGCAAAGTGAGCATCAGGAGCCCCCCCCCCCGTCCACACCACCTCCTGATCGAAGCAGGCCAAGGCAGGAGGATAGCTGCCCGGGGGGGGGGGAGTTGGATCTGGGTTCTCCCGAGTCCCAACCTGCCTCCCACATAGGCTGGATCGCCCGACGCCCTCTCTGCGACACAAGCTTCGTCTGCCTGGCAGTGACAGCCCTCGAAGCTCGAAAACGGGCTGGCAAGGGTCGGCCCGAAGGGAAGGGAAGGGGCCAAGCGACTTCACGGCGGCTTCTGTTTTTCTCCCGTGGTAGTGCTGGAGGTCCACCAGTTTGCCCAGGAAGCTGTGGTGGCCGACGCCTGGCTGACCGCCCAGGAGCCGCTGCTGAAGAGCCGGGAGCTGGGCAACAGCGTGGACGAGGTGGAGCAGCTCATCCGGCGGCACGAAGCCTTCCGCAAGGCGGCCGCGTCCTGGGAGGAGCGCTTCAGTTCTCTGCGGAGACTCACCACGGTAGGGGCTGCGGCAGGCTGTCCAGCCGGGAAGGGAGGGGAGGGGAGAGGGAGGGAGGACGCTCGCCTTGATGTGGTTTTAAGTCGGTTCCAAGCCCCTCCTCTGGATGCAAAAAAATGAGGATTGGAGTGAATGTTATTCTTGTAGCAAACACTATAGATAGCATGGTCTCTGTCTCCCTCCAGTGGCCAGTTCTGGTAACCAACTTTGGAAATATATATTTCTAGGATTTCTATTTAATGTTTTTAATATTTTCAGAACGTGGATAAGTGATACTGATCCTGCAGATAAGGGGGTCCTACTGTAACTTAGTCCGTGGTGTATGTGTGGGATTGTTCTTGATAACCCGCTACCTTCCCACCCCTAGATCGAGAAACTAAAGGCCGAGCAGAGTAAGCAGCCACCTACCCCTCTCCTGGGTCGCAAGATCTTCGCTGACCCAGCGGAGCTGAGCAACAAGGCCTCCTCTCTCCTGCGCCAGCCCCTCTACGAGAAGGACCTGCTGCGGGGACGGCTTGAGAGCCAGCCGCTCCTCAATGGGATCAAACCGGAGCCCCTGGAGCGGGCAGAGGCCAAGGTGGCCTACGTGCGCCAGGAACTGAAGCCAGAGCGGCTGCAGCCCAAGATTGACCGCCTGCAGGATGGGGTGGTAGCAGCCGTCGAGGGCAAGGTCCAGGAAAAAGCGGGCGAGGTCAAGGCGGCCCTGGAAGAGGCGGTGGCGGTCCAGTCGGAGAGCCTGGGCCACGCCGTGGGCGCCCTGGCAACTCAGCTGGAGGCCAAGGTGAGCCGTGGAGACAGCCACGCGGAGAGGCACCGGGAGCGTTACGAGCGCAGGCCGGAGCGCCAGGAGTCCCGCGAGCAGGACGGGCCCCGGCACGAGCAGACAGAACGGCGCCGAGAGAGGCGGGAGCGACGGCTGGAGCGCCAGGAGTCCAGCGAGCAAGAGACGCCCCGTCGGGAGCGGCACGAGAGGAGGCTGGAGCGCCAGGAGTCCAGCGAGCAGGAGGCACAGCGCAACGACCCCAAGGGGGGCGGGTGAGTGCCGTGGCCTTGTGGAGACCGCGAGGAAGGCAAAGCGGCAGCCCTTAGCTTCTCAACAGAGATGGGAATCTGAGGGGTCTGCCTTGAAGCACGGCGGAAGGTGCTTCTCCTGCCTCTTTTTTCCTGGCCACGTTCTGCCCTGGGCCCTCCCTGTCCTGGAGCGTTCCGGACCCCAGGGGAGATCCAGCCCGCCCCTGTCCTGACGCTGTGGCTGGCCTTCCTCCTCTCCGATTGACTCTTCGTGAGACCTGGGTCTGGAGGCCCTCCGAGCCATCCAAGCTCCTTCTTGACGGGCCCCCTCCGGCCTCGTCTCCCCTTTCCTCCTCCGGCCTGGAAGCCGGTTGTGTTCTTACGTACGGCTTCGCTCCTCACGTTCTCTATTGATCTCCACAGCAAGGCCACTTTGGCAGACATTGTGGAGCAGCTCCAGGAGAAGGAGTCCACGGCACCTGCCACCACGGCGCCACCCCCAGCCACCGTGAGTACCCCCGTCTTCACTGACGATCTAGATAACCATGATGCCGGTTCCAGGCATCCCCGCCACCTTGCCCTGTCCAGAGATTGGGAGATGGAGGGGAGGCGCGCCTGCCAAGGGTGGGAGCTTCAGCCCTTGGGGCTGCCCCTTCAGGGCTTGGGTGCCAAACCAGAAAGGGTTCAGCCTTTAGAGACAATCCTCCCCCCCCACACACACACACACACAAACACACACAAGCATGGAAGAGGGTTTCTTGCCTTACTCCCCACCCTCGCCTTGCGAAAACACAGTCAGGATTTAACTGTGCAATGGAGCAAGGAACTCTTCTCACTCCGTGGTGGTGGTGGGGAGGCACTCTGCACATGATTAAGGACACTCTTTTCTCTAGCCCTTCAAATGCCCTTCTCAATCAATGGTTCCCAGCCTCGGGTCCCCAGATGTTCTCGGACTACATCTCCCAGAGATCCCGGCCAGCCCAGCTAGTGGCAAAGTCTCCTGGGGATTTTGGTCCAAGAACATCCAGGGATGTAAGGTTGGGAGCCTCTGATCTACATCATCCTTGCCTTCCACAGAGAACTTTGCCTCTTGTGTTGGGGGTCTCCCCACTCTGGGGGTGGCCCCCAGCATTAGCTTTCCCTCGTTCCCCCCTCTCTCCCTCCTCGTCTCTCCGATCGCAGCCTCGTGAGCGGGAGTCGCCGGCCCGCTTGCCCAACGGCCTCGACATGCTGCCGGAGCGG